CGAGCGGCGCCGCAGGCGCCGCCAGGGGGGTCAGCGCAGATGCGCAGATCCAAAACATCCGCGTGGGCCGTCAAACATTTGTGTTTATGCCTTTCTTTCTTCGTCGATATATTGAGATGAAGGCGAAGCTCTTCGAATAATGGCCGATCCAGAGTCGGGGAGACGTGAGACTCGGGTTTGCGGGACTCGGGTTGGCCTGACGGGGCCGACAGGGAAATGACGAGATCCAATCTCGAACAGCACTTGGCGCGAACTCCCCGCTGCAAACATCCAACGAAATCGAGCGGTGCTCGGCCAAGCACGCGGCATGGGGTTGCACTGGCTGGGGCGGGCGTTAGTTGGGGCGCGCCCGCTTAGCTCCTTTCGGGGATCTCGATGGAGAGTCGAGACACCAGAAGAATGGCCCCCCTGGGGCAGCGCGCAATACGATGAGAAAGATTGTTCTTGCGCGTGCAAACGAATGAAGAACAACGAAGGTGGAGTCGGACAACACGGGTAGGAGCAAGGACACGATACACGACATCAGCGGTGCTGGACCCGACGTGCGGAATGCGGACGCGCCACCCGAGGCATCAGCCATGGTTCCCTGTGGGACGTCGAAGCGCGTGAAGGGCAGGCCATTTTGAGTCGACAGGTAAGACGGGATTAAGGGGAGACTGCGGCGGGGACGAGGAGGGTAACGACGACGACGAGGACTACGACGACGAGAATGAGTGAGTCAGCTACGGCGATTAGACAAGGAACGGTCACCGATATGATAAGTGAGAAGCGGAGAACCTGGAGGAGAGGGAATACGAGGAAAGCAGCAAATAGAACGAGGATGGTGAGGGGGGTGAGGAGCGACCAGGCGACACGATTTGAGCAATGCTTGATCCGTCGTGCGGTGGTTGTGCGGGAGCGCCAGCAGTGGCCTTTGTTCGGGGCTCGCTTCGTGACGTCGAGTCGCGCGAGGTGTGGGCGATTCTGTCGCAGCGCGCAATCAATTCTGATGCTGCTTCGCGCCAAGGGTGCCCAGCTATTTCTCAAGATCTGATGCGCGCGAACGGCGGGAATATCCAGGACGCTTCACGTTGTGACACGGCGCGCCCGATTGGCCTGTACTGCAGCAGCGGGCGCTGTACCTGAGCTCACGCACCCATTGCCCGACGGAGCTGCACACCTTCTCGTCAGGTGAGCGTGCGAGCTCTCCCCTGCGTGCGATCCCCTGGGCCCGGGAGGAGTGCATTACCGCCACTGGATCGCACTGCCGTGGCGTGCTGGTGCTCCGTCGGAGCAACGACGGGTCCGCGGCGGGAGTCCGCGCCGCCCAAGCCTACCCTTTACTGCAAGCGCAGTGAACAGTTCCGTGCCCCCGAGGCCCCCATCCCTCTTCGCAAGCGCTCTGGGTCAGCGCTCGCGCAGCCACTGCAAGGCTTCTGCCTGTGTGCAGCCACGATCCATCACAGAACAGCCCACGGTGCTATCCCTTCTGTTTTCGTGTCCGCCCCTCTTTCTCGGCGAACCCGCCAAGCAAAACAACCGCCTACCCCACCAGCCAGCTAACCTGCCATCCAGGAGGGAGAGGGGGATTAGGAGGAGGAAAGGGGAGGGCTGATGGTGATGATGATGGTGCTGATGACGATGGTGATACTGATGATGATGATGCTGGTGATGACGATGCTGATGAACATGATGATCATGATGTTGATGATGATGATCGACCGTACCTGGGGGGCAACAGTCTGGCCGCACGCTTAGTTGTCAGTGGCGTGCACGGCACGATGATGATGCTGATGTGGCCGATGATGACGATGATGGTGATGACGACGGTGATTATGCTGCTGATGATGATGGTGATGCTGACCATGCTAATCATGATGCTGATGATGATGATGCTGCCGGCAATGACGATAATGCTGACTCGGCTACTATTGCTAATTATGATGATGATTGTGATGTTGCTGATGATGATGATGGTTATGCTGGCGAGAATGATGATGCTGATGATGATGGTGATGATGATGATGATGACGATGATCATGAAGATGGTGGTGATGACGATGACGATAACGATGCCGATGAGGATAATGAAGATGAGGATGATGCTGATGATACTGATCATGATGATGCTGCTGCTGCTGATGATGATGCTGCTGCTGCTGCTGATGATGATGATGATGATGATGATGATGATGACGATGCTGTTCTGTTTCCCCCCTGCGACTTTGGCCCGACGGGCCAAAACGAATGACGGTGCCTGGTGCGGTACTATGCAGAGATAGGCACCGCTACTTTGAATGCTTTCCGGGATAACGGCCAGCTCCACCCAAGCGTTCCGTCGGGGGACCAGCAGGCGTGCTAGCCGCGTACATGGAGCACTGCGTACAACACAGCAAGGTCTCGCCCACTGGAGCTCCTGGTTTTGTCGAGAGCTCACACCATTCAACGTCGTGGGAGCCCAGGCGGGCTTCCAGACGCACAGAACTGGACTGCCAATCTTGCAAGCGGCCCTGTTTGCGATCGAGGGCGGCCACGGGAGCCGCCACACATCGCAAGCAGCACACACACACACACACTGCCACTGATTCAGGGCGGCCGCGACGAATTCGTGGGCGATCTGCGCGGCCATCCGGCGAACAGCGGGCTGCCGTGGCAAGTCCGCCGCGCTCGGGCGGCTTCCCAACAAAAAAAAACACCTCGTCCTCGCGAGCCGATGCTCGAGCTCGGCGGCGAGGGAGGCCGACGCGCCGAGGAGGCGCGCTCCCCAGCTCTGCCGCCTGGTCGGCCTGGCCATTGAGGCCAAGCATCCCACTCAGCGTACGGTGGTGGGCTACTCGACTAGTGGAGGATGACGATTAATAAATGACCGGGGGTCGTGTTCACGCGCATCCCGCATTGCGTGCGCGTGCGACTTTTATTGACCAGGCCCGCGCAGGCCTGGCTTTGCCGGTGGAGTGTCCGCCGGGAGCCCGCGGACGGAGACGAGGACTTGCTCGCTTCAGCCACCCCGCTCCTGGCCAACCCCAAATTAGAAGAACAATTACCTGTGTACAAAAGCACTGGTGCTTGGCGCAAACTGCCGACTGCGGCATCCCGGCAGGGACCGAGCCGACGATCATGCGAAGGACGCCCACAACGGGGTCCCATTGGACGACTCCTCAGCCCGCCCGCTGAGGGAGGGAGGTCACGGAGGAGGTGGAGGCGGACCCGCCCACCAGCGACGGAACGATCTGCGAGAAACGCGCATCTGCCAACGGGCACTTCCTGATCGCCCACGAACGCTCGCAGGCAGCCTCGCTGGGAGCCGCTGTGGCCGCGAGGGCAGGGCAGAGGTCCTGCAGCAGAGGGTCGCCGACAGCACGGCAAGCCTCGAGCCCATCCCGCCCCCCCCGACCCTGCGGCGGAGCGGCCCGCCTCGCAGCGCGGGCGGCACGAGACGCAGTGGCTGACGGTGTCGGGCATGGCGCAGTCAGCGCACTGCCCGCTCACAAAGTATCCCCAAGCCAGTGCCCGCTCGCCCGTCCTGTGCCGCCGAGGAGCGGAGACAACCACGTGGCGCTTCAGGGCGGGAGGTACGAGCTGCTGAGGCAGGCCTGGGCGGCCTGCCCCCATGCGCCCTCGAAGTCGCCGCAGAGGTCCCCGCGCCGCCGAGTGGACTCGTCGGCACCACGCTCGTGATGATGCTGATGATGATGTAGGAGGAGGATGGCGCTGATGCTATGATGTCGATGCTGATGAGGATGCTAGTGCTGCTGATGATGGCGATGCTGGTACTGACGATGATGCTGCTGATGATGATGCTGATGACGATGCTGACGATTACAATGATGATAACCACGATGGCGATGATGCGATTGACGACAACGATGCTGATGCTGATGATGATGGTAATGCTCAAAGTACGAAGGATCACGGTAACAACGAAGACGACGATGGCGATCATGACGATGCTGATGCTGATGACGATGCCGCTGCTGATGCTGCTGATGACGATGACGATGACGATGCTGATGATGCTGCTGCTGATGCTGATAATGGCATGGTGCTGATGCTGCTGATGCTGGTGACGACGACGACGATCACGGTGATGATGCTGATTATGCTGGTGATGGTGAGTGTGGTAATACTGATACTGATACTGCTAGTCATGCTGCTGGTGATGATGTTGACGACGATGGCGGTTATGATGATGCTGATGACGATGGCGATGACTGTGATGACGATGACGATGCTTGTTCTCATCAGCAGGATGATAATACTACTGATTCTGATGATGCTGATGTTGATGCTGATGCTGATGCTGATGACGCTGACGGTTATGAGTCTGATTATGATGATGCTCGTGATGGTGGTGCTGCTGCTGCGGATGCAGATACAGATCCTGCTGCTGCTGATGATGCTGATGATGCTGCTGCTGATGGTTATGCTGATGCTGGTGATGGTGATGCTGCTAATGAAGATGATGCTGATACTGATGCTGCTGATCCTGATGATGATGCTGATGCTGACGACGATGATAATGATGATGATGCTGCTGCTGATGATGATGATGATGAGGAGGAGGAGGAGGAGGAGGAGAAGAGGAATGGTAGGAGTAGGAGGAGGAGCAGGAGGAGGAGGGGGAGGAGGACCAGGAGTAGGAGGAGGAGAGGCAGGACGAGGAGGGGGGATGAGGAGACGAGGAGGAGGAGGAGGAGGAGGAGGAGGAGGTGGAGGAGGAGGAGAAGGAGGAGGAGGAGGATGAGGAGGAGGGGGAGGAAAGGGAGGAGGCCAGGAGAGGGATGAGGATGAGGATGGGATGAGGATGAGGGATGAGGAGGAGGAGGAGGAGGAGGGAGGAGGAGTACGAGTACGAGGAGGAGGAGGAGGAGGAGGAGGAGGAGGCGAGGAGGGAGGAGGGAGGAGGCGAGGAGGAGGAGGAGGAGGAGGAGGAGGAGGAGGGAAGAGGGGAGGAAGAGTGGGGAGGAGGGTGGAGCGATGCCCAAACGAACCCTCCGTGACCGCTCTGGGAGCAGAAGAGCCTCGCGGTCCTTAGCCTCGGCCGCCACCTGCGCCCTGCGGCCCACTGCGGCCGCCTCGGCGGGCCTGCCGCCGGGGCCCGCAGCCCCTCGCCAGCAGTGGGGGGCTCTGCCCAAGTCGTCGTCGTCGTCGTCGTCGTCGTCCGCGGCGGCGGCGGCGTCCAGTGCTCGGCCTCCTCCACCTCCTCCTCCTCGCTCCTCCTCCTCCTCCTCCTCTCCTACTCCTCCTCCTCCTCCTCCTCCGCCTCCTCCTACTCTCCCTCTCCTCCTCCTCCTCCGCGTTCTCCTCCTCCTCTCCTCTCTCCTCCTCTTCTTCCTTCTCGTCTCTTCCTCCGTGCCTCCTAATCCTTGGACTCGTCGTCGTCGTCCTCCTCTCCTCCTCCCTCCTCCTCTCCTCCTCCTCCTCCTCCTCCTCCTCCTCCTCCTCCTCCTCCTCCTCCTCCTCCTCCTCCTGTTCGATCGTATGCCGAACTATTCGCTTGCGCAGTGGCACCGGGCCTTCGCCCGGCGCTTCCTCCTGCGGGGCGCCGGCAGGGCCGGGGCCACGCGCGGCCCAGCGGCTGCGCCTGCCGCCGCCGTCCTCGCGGAGGGAAGGCAGGCTCCTCCCCGGAGCTCCGACGGGATTCCCCGAACACTAAGGAAGCTTTTGGCGCCGGCGCGGATGGCGTCCTGCCGCGCCCGCCCCTTGGGCTTTGCCAAGTGGGCGGCGATATTTGGCGTGGGGAGGCGCGTGCACCTCTCGTGCCCTTATGGATCCTGGGGGGGGGACCCTTATGGGGCCCCTGGGGGGCACAAGAGGTGCACTCTTCCTGCTTCTTCCGCCCGTTGCTGCACTCAGGTGTTCCTGCTTCTTCCGCCCGTTGCTGCTTCGTTGCCGCCCATCGGGGGGCTCCGTCGAGGTCTCGCCGCGCCGCCGCCCGTTCCCGCCTCGCTGCCGCCCCCCGCGCTGGGGGCTCCGTCGAAGCTGCACCACGTAGCTCACACCACGTAACTTGCACCACTTAGCTCACCTCACAGAGCGCGCCCCACGCAGATTGCATCACATCGCTTTCACATCCGCGGTATAATAACCTACCGTCTGAGGTCCACGCTGGCTAGTGTGATTTTGTCAATTCTAGCGTTTTTCCTTGTCTTCTGCCTCTGAAGCTCGTTACCGGGCCCAAGGACATCAAGAAACGGACCCGGGCCGGAAAACTGGCCCCAGAGAAGGGGTCGGGTCTTCGGGGGGCCCCGCATCGCAAAAGACCAAGACATCGGACGTCTGCCCAGGGGACCCCTAGACATCAAGCGTCTCAAACTCTGCGAGACACGGCCCTCTCGACCACTTCCCCTGGACGCGCTTCTCATCCCGGGTCGTTTGCTGACGCTCTCGGGGCCCAGTGAGGGCCCCGAGAAAGCCGAACACGATGAAAGACCTCCGGCTCGACTTCTTCGAGACGCCGGACGCCCAGGCCCATCCCTCCTCTGCCCTCGGTCCTCGAAGCAGGGCCGCGGCCGAGGCTCTCGAGCGTTCTTGGCCCGCCCCGGGCCGCCGGAGGCCTCCGCGGGGGGCCTCCGAAGGGACCTCTGAGGGGACCACTGCGGGGACCTCCGGCGGGGCGTGCGCTGGCCAGATGCCTCCCCGATGGGCTTCGGGCGGGTTGCGTCGGAGGATCGCGCCACATCGTCGATGCGTCGCCGATGCATCGGCGATGCGGCGCGATCCTCCGACCTCGTCGGGGAGGCCTTGGCTGCTGCACACGAGCACTGCCCGGATGCCTGGAGATTTGAGGGAGCAGCCGCACCTGCCGTCGGAGGGTGGGCCTACCCGCCGCAGGGCAACAGCTGCAACCCTGCAGTGGCCTCCCCTCTTCTTCTTCCTCCTCCTCCTCCGTCTCCTCCTTCTCCTCCTCCTCCTCCTTCTCCTCCTCCTCTTTCTCCTCGCCCTCCTTCTCCTCCTCCTCCTCCTCCTCCTCCTCCTCCTCCTCCTCCCCCTCCTTCTCCTCCTCCTCCTCCTCCTCCTCCTCCTCCTCCTCCTCCTTTGTGTCCTCCTCCTCCTCCTCCTCCTCCTTTGTGTCCTCCTCCCATGACGTCTTCGCGTCGTGATAGCAATTACGACCGGTTGTTGATCACGTTCGGCCTCCCAAGCCCATAGCCGGCCCCAAGGATCGCCAAAGAGCGGTCCGGGCAGAACAGCTTGCTGCGGGGAGCGAGCCCAGACCTCCAGGCAGCCGCGCTGGGAACGAGTCGCGACGTCGGATGCCTGGATCCCCTTGGGCCCGCCCAGGGAGAAGACGAGGAGGAGGAGGAGTGATAGGTGAAGGAGGAGGAGGCGGATGAAGAGAAGGAGGGAGCTTGAGGCCGAGGAGGTGGATGAGGAAGAGGAGGAGGAGGAGGAGGAGGTGGTGGAGGAGGAGGAGGAGGGCGGAACAGCAGCAGGAGGATCAGGGAGGTGGGAGGAGGAGGGCTGAGCCGGGGGGCGGCGCACCCCCGCGCTCCCACCCTCGGCGCGCCGCGAGAGGCGCCGCGCGCCCCTGCCCCCCCGCCCCCCAGCAGTGCCCGAGCGTCCGGGCAGGACGATCCCCAGCAGCTGGACGCGCCCCCCTCGCTCCGGACATCGAGGCGCGGCGAGCTCGGGCCGAGCAGTCGGTCGGCCGCGAGAGGCGCAGCGCGCCCCTGCCCCCCCCCCCCTGCAGTGCCCGAGCGTCCAGGCAGGACGATCCCCAGCAGTCGGCGGTGGACAAGCCTGGCGCGCGGAGCGCGCTGGGGGCGGCGCCGGAGGCGCCGCCGGGGGATCTCAAGCGCCGACTCAGGAAATCCGCGCGGACTTTTGCTGTCTTTTGGCGCTTCGACTGTTGCCAGTGCCAGAGAGGGCGGGGGAGGACGAGAGTCGGCGGTGGGCAAACCTCCCTTTAGTAAACCTCCCCTTAGTGAAAACGGCCTGGGCCTGGGACCGAAACCGACGGACCTGGGCCCGCAAAAATGACGGCCGCGGCGCCCTCTCACGAACCGAAAACGGCCAATTCCGTAATCGACGTGTCAGGGTAGGAGGTCTATCCACCTCCGAAACGGCTGGACGCGTCCCTCTCGCTCCGGGCGTCGAGGCGCGGCAAGCTCGGGCCGAGCAGTCGGTCGGCCCTGGGGAGCGCCCGAGGGCGATTGGCTCGAGGGCCCGTTTCCCCCGCCGCGCCCGCGCTGCAGGAGTGCGCGGCGCGCCCAGAGGCTTCCTGGCTGGGGTCCGAGCAGAGATGTGGTCGGAGGGTCGCCCCACCTCGCCGATGCATCGGCGACGCGGCTCGATGTGGAGCCCGACTTTCTCCACGCCGACGTTGCCGATGCATCGCAAGCGTCGCCGATGCATCGACGACGCATCGACGACGCATCGACGACGCATCGGCGATGCATCGGCGACGCATAGACGACGGATCGGCGATGCATCGGCGACGCGTAGTCGATCCTCCGACACCCTCTGCTCGGACCCCATGTGCGTGCCCTGGAGCGCCCGCTCCACCCCCGACTTCGAGACGACGCGGGGCGCGGCGGCGAGGGCACGGCGCGAGGGCGCTGTGAGGGCGCGGCGAGCCATACATCGCATATGTTGGTGCCAGCTCTTCTTCTCGCAACGACATTTTACGACCCCGCACAAGATGCAGGTGTTCATCCGTTTGCGGCGTCTCGACTTCGTTCGACGATAACTGCTACCCGAGTGCAGCGACATGTCAGCAGGAATGTAACCAGCGCGTGGGTATCTCACCCGCAGGTACGGCTGGTGTGACACTGCGCCACGGGCACGCTCACGCCAAACAATCGGGGCCCGAGCCAGAATGGCAACGTCTGGAGCCAGAGCGGCCACGGAGGAGCGTGCGAGGTCCACGAGAGGCCTCTCGAGGTCCTGGGAAATGTCCGAACCGTTGGGGGCCCTCCGGAGCCCTGCAATGGGGTGTTCTCACGGGGGGAGGAGGAGCAGCAGGAGGGAGGAGGAGGAGGAGGAGGAGGAGGAGCAGCAGGAGGGAGGAGGAGGCGGAGGAGGAGGAGGGAGGAGGAGGAGGAGGAGGAGGAGGAGGAGGAGGAGGAGGAGGAGGAGGAGGAGGAGGAGGAGGCACCACAAGGCCCCTCGTGCACCGCAGGGCCTCGGCACCGCACGGGGTGAGCGGCCAAAACGAGGCCCTTTTGTGCACCACGCACCGCTTTGTAACGCGGGGCCTGTCTGCGTCACTGGGCCCGCGATGGCCACTGGGCTTTTGAAGGGGCCCTGGGACACACAAATAGATACACACAAATGAAAGGATTCCCCATATTTTCTGGGTTTTTGTCTTCCCCCCCACTCCGCATAGTTTCCCATATTTTCGGGGGAATCGACGATTAATTGTGTCTGTGTGTTTTTTTCCCCTCCTGAGCTTTGGGGGGCCAACAAGATATAACTACCGCTGTTCAGCGGATCTTTCCTGGGGTGCGTTTTGACCAGCATCTCGAGGATAATCGAGCCGTGGCGACGAAGGATCTTCAGGACAAGCAGCGGTATCGGTATATGATCCTCCCCGGAGGGCTGACGAATACCGGTCGCAGTCGCAGGGCTCGTGGAAGTACGCCGCAGCCCCTGTGTGCGGCGCATACGGGGAACACGTGTGCGGGAACGGCTGGGAAAGCAGTGTCGGCATGGGTTTGTGGCGCGCTTTTTCCCTGCCGGCGGGCGCCTTCAGGAGGTACTAAGAGGGGGGGGCGGCACTTCAAGAAGTGGTCTCCGGCACCAGTCTTCATTAGCACCCCCTGGCAAGTACGAGCATGGGCCCTCTGAGGGGGAGTGGAAGGGAAGGGGGAATTTGCCCAACCGACATCCTACACAGGAAGTGAGAAGGGAAGGAGCGATAGAGAGAGAGAGAGAGAGAGGATGGGGGAGCATGACCCTGAGATCCGACGTCTCGGAAACATGGAAATGATACATAATAAGGATTGAAGCCCCAGGATACATCTTCTGCGCCATGTATCGAGCCTGATCGATATGTGAGGGACGCGGGCCCGGAACCTGGGAGAAAACGCCTGGCTCGAAAAAGATGAGACGACAGGAATCTCAGGGGAGGAGGAAGCGGAGGGAATGAGGATAGCTGACCTTGTCCTAGCTCGCCGCGTTGAATGACGCCGCTGAGTTGAACAGGGACCAACTGGCGCATCATTCCTTCGGGCCTACAACGCACTGCTCCTGGAACGAACGAATGTTCGAATGACAACACATTATTCTTAGTACGTACCACCGATGTGGTACAACAAGACTGTCTCAGCCAGAAAGGCTCTTGATAATATCTCGAGAAAGCAGCGAAAGGCTCATTATAACATTCTGTGGCGGCCTACAGGCAATCCAGGACGCGTCGCCACTGCTTGAGTGAGGGCCCCACGGTGTCCTCGAGGGCGTTGAGCCCTCGGGCGGGTCACGCTCGTTCCCCGACGGCCCCGCGGCCGCCCTTGGCTCCGACGACGCGGCAGTGGGCCACAGGGTATGTCTTTCTTACCTGCATCGTGTATTTCGTGCAGCCCCTAAAGCAGAGGAAGAGAGGACGGATGGAAGGAAGGGACAACGGGCAGGCTGGTTGCTGAAGCACGCGTCTTGCATGAATCGGCATGAAATCTCGAGCGATAGCGCGACTCCCAAATGAGTCGTGAGGTCACAGCGAGAGCGTGACTCCTGAGTGTCGAGGGCGAGGACGGCGACGGTGGCGGCCGCGGCCGCTTCCGCCGACGGAAGGCGAGGACGGTGGCGGCCGCGGCTGCGACTCCGCGTCCGCGCGTGCCTGGCGGCGGCGGCGGCTGCAGGCGCGGCGCGGCGGCGGAGAACGACGGCGGAGGACTGCGGCGGCGGGGGTCCGCGGCAGCGGCGGCCGCGGCATCGCGCGCCGCGGCCGCTGGCTCGGCGGCACCGCGCGGCGCTGCCGTGGGCTGCTGGCCTCGCCGCAAGGGGGCGGGCGGGAGGGCACCGCGGGCAGGGGAGAGGGTGGGCGGCGGGCCCTGGGAGCAGGCTGGGAGGGAAAGGGGGGGGGGCAGGCAGGAGGAGCGAAGGGGAGGCATGATGCGGGCGGCCGGCCCATCCCCCCCTTGGGAGTTGGAGTTGCAGCTGTTTCGGACAGCCGGCCACCCTCGGGGGGGGCCGCGCCCTCTGAGAATGTCGGCGGGGGTGTCGAGCGGCTCTCGACAATTGTGCTCCGGGCGGCGCGGGCGAACGCGCGGCCGCCGCCAGGAGGAGGAGGAGGAGGAGGAGGAGGAGGAGGAGGAGGAGGAGGAGGAGGAGGAGCAGGAGGGGGAGGAGGAGGAGGAGGAGGAGGAGGAGGAGGAGGAGGAGGAGGAGGAGGAGGAGGAGGAGGAGGAGGAGGGGGAGGGGGAGGGGGAAGAGGAAGACCAGTGTAATCCCAGGAGCCATCAACGATGTCGGAGAACAGACCCTCCCTCCAAGCTCCCTCTTCATAGGCCCCTACAACGGTTCATTTCCATTGAGGGAACTGCCTAGTTGGAAGACAACCGTTTGAAATCCCTGAAGCATGTCACAACATTGTTTTCGGGATTCCCACGCCACGGATCAACTTGACTGTGGCGTTATGACGATCCTGAACCGTGCCAGAACGCCATTCTCGGGACTTCAGCACTGCGAACAAACGTAACTGTTGAACCCTCGAAATCATGAGTCCTTCCAAAACACCCCTTCTGGTATTTGGATCATGGGAATCCGTGGAACTTTTGCAAATTGCTAAGACGAATGTGCGCGGCGCCAATGCGGGAACCACATTTTGAAAAGGAGCCGCCCTCAATCCGTGAAAGTCTTGCAAGTATTCGAAACGAATGTGCGCGGCGCCAAAGCGAGAACCACATTTTGAAAACTGTTTCCCCTCAATCCGTGAATCTCTTGCAGTTTGTTCAAAAGAATGTGCGCGGCGCTAAAGCGAGAGCCACATGTTGAAAACCACCCGCCCTGAATCCGCTACGCTCCGGCAGTTTTTTAAACGAGCGTGCGCGGCGCTGAGGCGAGAGCCGCATGTTGAAAACGACCCGCCCTCCATCTGTGAAGCTGTTGCCAATTTTGAAGCTTCAGGGTCGTAAATGGTGGGGAAGTCTCAGGCGAAACGCCCGGCCCGCCCTAAACACTGGCCTCGGGGTGCGACAAGGAAAAGTTATTTAGAAGGAAAAAAGAATGGAGGTGGAGGAGGAGGAGATGAGGAGGAGGAGGAGGAGAAGGAAAGGAGAAGGACGAGGAGGAAATGGAGGAGGAGGACGACCACAGCGCAACCACCAGCACAACCACCATCGCAACCACCAGCACAACCACTCGCACAACTACCAGCACAATCAGCACGACCACCCGCATAACCACTAGCAGAATCACCAACACTACCGCCAACACCGACAACGGCACAACCACCACCGCGACCACCCGCACAACCGCACAACCGCCAGCACAACGACCAACGCAACCACCGCCGCAACCACCCGCACAACCACCCGCACAACCACCAGCACAACCACCGACGCAACCGCCAGCACAACCACCAGCGCAACCACCAGCGCAACCACCATCACAGTCACCCGCACAGCCACCACCAGCACAACCACCAGCACAACCACCCGCACAACCACCAACACAACCACCATCGCAACTACCAGCACAGCCACCCGCACAACCACCAGCGCAACCACCAGCACAACCAACAGCACGACGATGTTACACACATCGTCATTTTTTAAATTCGGTTTTTGAGTAGGACGCACGCGACGATCCCGTGGCATGGAACAAAAACAGGAATTTAAAACAACCATGATTTTAACGTAGGTCCACGAGGCTGAGGCTGGGCATGCCGTCCTAGTTTGTTTGAACTCCCTGTACTTGTTAACGTGGACATTGTGAGTCGGCTCCCCGCCGATCCCCTCCCGCAGGAACCCGCCCCGACCAACTTGGAAGCAAGGAGGCCCCAGCGACAACACCCGACGGACTCACTCGACACAACGAGGCTCCACAAGGAGGACCTCGACGAAGCTCCCAAAAACATCCAAACACCGTCTCGTTGGTCTCGTGTACCTAGAGTGCTGTCTTCTTCTCTGAGTGATGCCGATTTCGGGAGCGGCAAAGAGGGGGGTGTCCAAGAGAGGGGGGTGCAAATCATGACCGGCGGCATGTGCGCGGCCCAGCGGGGGGGCCAGGGACGTAATGAAATAAGAAGAGGCACCATGAAATCTGGGGAAATATCATGGCCCACGCCATGATATCCACCCCCCCCTAGTCATCACCCCCCTCTTTTCCGCCCCCGACAATTGTTCCCCACCCGCAGATTGGGGTTGTTAGATTTAAGAAGCTGCAGATCTCCCGACCCACCTCGCACAAGCTGCACACCGCGGCCGCCAGGCCCAAAGTGTGCCGGAGCTCCCTGGGCATCCCGCCACGCGCTCTTCGGTGGGGCTCGCTTGAAGCAAAATACTCTTGGTTGTCTACTGCCTATCCAGACCTGTCTCCATCCTCCACTCTACTGTCTACCGGAGGGGCTCGACCCCTCAAACAAAAACATCTGGCGGTCGCAATGCAAGGACCTGTGCTGGCCGAGGCTGGTAGGTGCCGGGATGAGGGCGCGAGCAGGAGGGTGACCAGAGAGCAAATACAGTATGCCAAGATGCACAGCGCTGCTGCAGTACACCCTCCCGCCCTGAGCCCCCGCCTCACAAGTCCCCACAGACCTCCCTCTTCACTGCAAGAGGCGCCCCCCCCCCCTCCCCGAAAGACCCGCACCCCGTGGGGAAGGCCAGGGGTGATGGCGGTGCACGGATTTTGCACCTTCGCGGGGCACCCTGCGCACGTGCACCCCGAAGAAGCCGGCAGAGCCTGCATCACCCAGCGGGATTGCCGTGGCCAACCTCCTCCTCCCGATAGAGGACGCCGGCATCCTTTTTCTCGAGCGGCCCCATCCTAGCCCAGACTGGTACTGAGAGACGCCTGCCGCCGCCGCAGAGAGATCGGCCACAAGCAAGAGTGACCCTATGCAAGGGTGACCTTTAGCGCGCGGCCAAATCAAGTGGGCGCACGGTGGCCAAATCCAAGCGCGCAAGCAGCCATTGTCGAATCGTGCCAGCGATCGGGGTGACCCCGGTGAGCCCGCATCACAGGTCACTCCGGCGAAGGGTCACTTTCACGTTTAGCCGAAGAGAGAGAGAAAGAGAGAGAGAGAGAGACGCGCCTGGCGTTGCCCGGCCTCGGGCATGGGGCCTCGCCGAGGGGCTCGCGCCTCCGGAGGCGAGACACGGGCTGGAGCGCCAGCGAGGCAGAGCCTCACTTCTTCCCGACCGCGAGCATCGGCACCCCGGCGTACTCCAGGGGCCGCATCTCGCCGTTGGGGCCTTGGAATGTCTGGCCAGCGCTGGGCCGATCATGCCACCTGTCTGCGTGATCCGATCGCACCCCTCGCACGCTGCCGATCGCCGCCCGCGCTGGTCAAAACGATCGCTGGCCCTTAGTGGGCCCTGGAAACGACAAGGCCGTTTTCTCACCGGTTCCGTTTTGCAGTTTTTTTGCCGGTTCCGACGCCGTTCTTTTACCGGTTGCGTCGCCGTTTTTTGACCGGTTCCGGCTCTGGTTCCCATCCTGGAGCCGTTTTTTTTGCCGTTTCTGGTCGCCGTTTTTTTGCCGTTTCCATTTTTCAAGGGACATTTTTTTAGAAACGGTGAAAAAAAGGCCCTGCCGTTTCCGGGGCCCACAAAGCGCTGGCCAATGGTCTCGATCGCGATTACATGATCTGCCGACCGCTGCGATCAGCGTCGGTCGACCGCGCGACCTGGCAAGACGCGGCAAGGAGATGGCTGTGCGAGGCAAAGCCGTGGAAACTCGGGAGAACTCTGGGGGAGAGCTCCAAAGTCCGTGGTAGTCCGGGGAAGTCCACGGCTCGCAAACAAAGACGTTACTACGCCGGCCGACCCGCGTGACCAACAGACGCTCAAGCTGGGGCCCAGCTTTGCCTCCCGGACGTCGTGCAGGAAAGAGGCGCCGCTCCCCACCTTGCACGCGCCAGTGCGCAACGCCGACAGGTCCGCGCCCGCTGGCGGCGGCAGCGCCTTTAGCGTGTGCACGTCCGAAAACAGGACGGAGCACCTCTTCGAGGAGGGGAAGGGGATAATCGCAAGGCTCTACAACCAGCTGCGAATGTGCACTGGGCTCCGAATCAGGATACCCTGGCCCCAACAATTCAGCCCTGGGTTGGCCCACATCTTTACCATTTTTATGTTGCCAGCTCCGCATGCCCGTGAAACAGATACGATTTGAGAAATCAGCAGGGGCTGGCGCGAAACCGCCAGACCGTGGTTTTGACGGCCATTCTGGGGACCTTCCTGGAGCTGCTCGCTCCACCCATGCGTCGACGCTGCGTCAAAAAAACCGCTCGCCTCGAGTCGAGCTTGTGCCGAACTCGACTCCACCTGCATGGCGTCGAGCTAGGGCCGAACTGATCCATTCGATGGGCTCCGATAAGGTCCCCCGAACGAGCAACTTTCGAGGAGCAGGCGGCGGACGAGAGGAGCACCTGGCCGAGGCCAGGACCTCGAGCGTCACCGCCGCCCGCTGCGTCGGGCTGCCGCATCCGCGGATGCCGCTGGCGCCGGGGAGCACCACGGATGCGCCCGCGAGGAAGGCGCTCCCGACCGCTGAAGCTATACCGAGGAGGAGGCGGAGGAGGAGGAGGAGGAGGAGGAGGAGGAGGAGGAGGAGGAGGAGGAGGAGGAGGAGAAGCCCCCGTCCCACCCCGGGGCGATGCTCTGCTGCTGGGCGAAGGAGGGGCGGGGGCGAAGGCCACAGGACCTGGAGGGGAAAAGGTCCGAAGTCCTGGGTCCTGAGGAGCAGTGAGCGGCTTGAGCGGCCGACGCGCGGGTGCAGCAACCGTCGAAGGAACCGCGGGGAATAATGAGCTCCCCCCACGCCGTCCCTGGGCAGTGGGCCCAGCCGAGCGATCCCGATGAGGCGAAGGAAGAGGCGGGGACAAGAGGAGGAGGAGGAGGAGGAGGAGGAGGAGGAGGAGGAGGAGGAGGAGGAGGAGGAGGAGGAGGAGGAGGAGGAGGAGGAGGAGGAGGAGGAGGTGGCGACCGAAGGCGTGGCACAGCGTGATGGAGACGAGGACGCGATCGTCGCTGGTGACCGCGAGCTGCTCGCGCGCGTCGGCGGCCATGGTCGACAGGGCCTCCCCGCAGGTCAGCGGCTTCGTGCTGCCCCAGTAGCCCAGGGGCGCAGCGGCGTCCTCGGGCACCACCGCCTGCGGGGCGGCCGAGTTGCTCAGCAGCCCCAGCGAGCCGTCAAGGATCTCCAGCGAGATGGTGGGCACGGGCAGCACCGCCGACTGGAGCACCTCCGACGCCCCCTCGAACACGTGCGTGACGGCTCCTCTCACGCGGGCGGCCCCGGAGAGCTCCGCCAGAGCCTTGGCGTCCTTCGCCGTGGCGACCGCCACGCCGAGGTGCGAGCAGGCGACCTGCAGCAGCAAGTTCTCCACGGAGTTCGGGAGGTCCGTCACCAGGAGGGGGAGAACGAGCAGATGAGCAGAAGGCGGACGTGAGGAGGCCAGGACATGAGGGGGGAGGAGGATGAGGACACCAGCACGTCCCCTTTCTCGTAGCCCACGTCCGCAAGGGTCCCCGCCACGGTGATGGCGCGCTCGGACATCTCCTGGTACGTCCAG